GGCTCACTTCCTGTTTTTGGTATGGCCTCTGATCTCATCTGTTAGCTTATTAGTTACAACTTTTTTGTTTTTTTGGAAGTTGTTGTATAGTTGATAGTATTCATCTCTAACTTACCAGAGTCTATTTTGAAATAACACACCACTTCTTATATAATATAAAAACCTTATAACGACATACTTAAATTTCTCTCCTCCCAGCTTCTGTTCTCATTGGAATGCCTTTTACTTCTGCGTGTTATAAGTCCCATAACACTTTATTTTTTTTCTTCAAATGATCAGTTACCTTCTAAGGAATCTGAAAAAAAAATGTATTACATATTTATCATTTTCAGTGCTTTTATTTCTTTATATATACCCAGATTTCTATCTGGTTTCATTTTTCTTTTGACTTTAAGCAATTTGATTATGGAGTTCTTGGTATAATTATTTTCATGATGTTTTTTGCTTGCACAGAGCTCAGACATTCCCAGAGTGTCCTCACTTCTAATACCAACTACAAGTTTGGGTGTCCCCGTGATCACACTCTGGTTTAATAATTCTTTTGCAGGACTCACAGAACTCAGAAAAGTCATTATACTTATGGTTACAGTTTAGTACAGCAAAAGAATACAGATTAAGACCAAGCAGTTAAGGGATGAGGCATACAGGGCAGGGTCTAGGAGTCAGCATGCTTGAGGTTTCATGCTTGCAGTTATCTGCCAGTGGAGCCATGTGGAGAGCACCTCTTTCTTTCAGAAAGCATGTATGATAGTATGTATGAAATACTGGCAAGCAGGGATACTCACCTGACCCTTAATGTCCATCTTTTATCGGGGGTTCTGTTATGTAGGCATATGGTTGACCAGCTGTATGGCTGATCTCCATCTCTAGTCCCTTTTTTGACCTCCCTAAGAGCTAATAGTGTGCACTGGTTCTAAGACCTACCACAATAAATCACATCATTAGCATAGAATATCTGTGTGACCCAAAGCTGTCAGGTAAACAAAGACATTTATATTAGGCAGGACACTTCAGGGACTTAGAGGTCACCCCACTGTGAGCCAGAGACAAAGAGAATTTTTCTGTGGGCAATGTTAATTCTTTATTGCGTATCCCAGGATCTGTGGGTTCTATTTTCCTTCAGATTTGGAGAATTGTTGGCTTTTATCTTTTCAGATATTTTCTATTTCCCACCTAAATGAAAATTCCAGTTATGCATATTAAATCACCTGATATTGTCCCTGACATCACTCACTCTGGTTTGAAGTCTGATCTGATTTCAACTCAGATCTTGTGTGTTCATGGGCCCCCTTTTCCTTGGTGGATCTTCATCTCCTCTGTCTGGTTACTGAAAGAAAGGCCACTCTTGTTTTTTAGATTTTTTTTTTTTTTAATTTGGTAGCCTACCTAGGACAGGTTGGGAATTTGTCAAATGTCATAAGGTGAAAAGTGGTCATGTATGGAGATCCTGCCAGTTACCAGTTTTGTCATTCTGCCTCCATATGGCAGCCAAAAGTTCTGCTGGTTTGATGAACTGGATTTTGCATCCAGGTAGCTCCCTACTTCACTTATCTCTAAGGCACTTGCCTCTGTCCTCTGGATGGTTCTTCCTTCCCTCTTGTCTATGTTGGCTTTCTTTGATGAAGGCCCATTAAAATATATCCTTCTTGGAGTGACGTCAGCAAGATGACAAAGTAGGAGATACCAGCCTTTGTCCCCTCCACACACACACAAAAAATTAGCTGTCTATGATTGAAAATAGACTCCTGAACCCTCCCAGGTTAAGAAACTGGTTTCTTAGTTTGCCAGTTAAGAAACTAAAGCAACAGAGTGGATCAAAGCCTGGAGAAGAACTGCATAAAAAGCATCAGTAGCGAGGTCTCCTTAAATGAGATCTAGGAACAAAGAAGGGCAGAGGTTATCCATTTCAGCCATGGGGTGGGTGCCCTGATAGTGCCCAGTGGCCTCTTTTGTGGAGGACCATGTCAGTCTTTTCCACTGAGGATCTCAGCAGCCCCCACAGCAGCTGTGGACTGCCCTCCGCTTTCACATGGAGGACCTTGTGGTGTTCATCAGGGCGGACCCTAGTGGCTTGCTCCACAGAAAACACCAGCAGCTGTCTTTACTGCAGTTAAGCTATACCGTTCGCTGCCACAGACTCCATAGAGAAGGCAGTACTGTTTCACCCCTTAACTCCCCACCCCAGAAGGAGCTGCTGTTGTGCTGTACGGGGACCAGGGCTACGAGGCCCCCAAGCCCACATACCCTGGATCAGAATTGAGTTGGTGTATGTGCACTGGTACTCCATCTGGCCCTATGGTTGCCCCACATGCACTAGTGTCCCAGGTACTGGAGTCAACACTGCTGCAGACTAGCCATCATCCTGGACCCCAGAGTTGTTGCTCCATGCATATGCATGCTCCAGACCCCACTTTCATGGCCAGTGGGTGCAGACTTGCATCTCATACATCACCAGTATGGGCTAGCTACTGCCCTGGAACTCAAAGCTAAAAATTTAAGAAGATAGAAATCACATCAAATATCTTTCCTGACCACAGTGATGTGAAACTAGAAATCAGTAATAGTACAAAAATTGGAAAAGCAACCAAATTTTGCATTCCTGAGCAACCATTGGGTTAAAGAAGAAATCAAATGGGAAATAATATCCTGAGACAAATGAAAATGTAAACACAACATACCAAAATTTAAGGAATGCAAGAAAAGCAGTTCTAAGAGGAAAATTTATAGCCTTAAATGCTTAAATTAAGAAAAAAGAAAGACCTGGGGCACCTGGGTGGCTCAGTTGGTTAAGTGCCTGACTTTGGCCTAGGTCATGATCTCACTGTTCGTGGGTTCAAGCCCCGTGTCAGGCTCTGTGCTAACAGCTCAGAGCCTGGAGCCTGCTTCACGTTCTGTGTTTCCCTCTCTCTCTGCCCCTCCCCCACTTACACTCTGTGTCTCTTTCTCTCAACAATAAATAAACAATAAAAAATTTTAAAAAGAAAAAAGCAAGACCTTAAATTAGCAACCTAACTTTACACATTGAGGAACTTGGAAACAAGAACAAATTAAGCCCAAAGTTAGTAGAAAGAAAAGAATAACAAAAATTAAAGCAAAAATAAATGAAATAGAGACTGGTAAAACAGTAAGAAAGATCAGTGAAACTAAGAGATGTCTTTTTTTTTTAATTTTTTTAAATAATTTATTTCTAGGAGAGAGAGAGAGAGAGACAGCGTGAGCAGGGGAGGGTCAGAGAGAGAGGGAGATAGAGACTCTGAAATAGGCTCCAAGCTCTGAGCTGGCAGTCAGCACAGAGCCCGATGCGGGGCTTGAACCCACGAACCACGAGATCATGACCTAAGCGACGGTCGGACGCTTAACTGACTAAGCCACCCAGGCACCTCAAGAGATGTCTTTTTGGAAAGATACACAGTATTGTCAAATATTCGATGGCACTAAGAAAAAAAGAACACTTAAATCAGAAATGAAAGAGAAGATATTAAAACTGATAAGGTGGAAATACATAGGATCATGAGAGACTACTGTGAACAGTTATATTCCAATAAATTGGATAATTCAAAAGAAATAGAAAGTTCCTTGAAACATACAACCTACCAAGACTGAATCATAAAGAAATAGAATATCTAAATAGACTTATAACCAGTAAGTGTATTGAATCAGTAATAGAAAATATTGCAACATGGGCGCCTGGGTGGCTCAGTCGGTTAAGTGTCCGACTTTGGCTCAGGTCATGATCTCATGGTTTGTGGGTTTGAGCCCCGCGTCAGGCTCTGGGCTGACAGCTAGCTCAGAGCCTGGAGCCTGTTTCAGATTCTGTATCTCCCTCTCTCTCTGACCCTCCCTTGCTCATGCTCTCTCTCTCTCTCTCTCTCTCTCAGAAATAAAACATTAAAAAATTTTTTTAAAGAAAGAAAATATTCCAACAAAGAAAATACAAGACCAGATGGTGTGCTTGATGAATCTTACTAAGCATTTAAACAAGTATTAGTGCCAGTCCTAAAAAAAAAAAAGAAAAAAAGAAAAGGTCTTCCAAAAATTTGAGGAGGAAGGAAAACTTCTCAACTCATTTTGTAAAGCTATCATCATGGTAATAATAACCAAAGCCAGACAAGGACACTACAAGAAGAGAAAAGTACAGGCTAGTGTTCCTGGAGGACATAAATGCAGAAATCCTCAACAAGATCGTAGCAAACCAAATTCAGTAGCAAATGAGAAGGATTATATACTATGACAAGTCAAATTTATCCCTGGCATGCCAGGATGGTTCAACATATGCAAATCAATAAATGTGCTGCACCACATTAACAGAATGTAAAACAGAAATCATAAGATCATCTTAGTAGATTCAGAAAAATAATTTGGCAAAATTCAATATCCTTTCTGATAGATGCTCTCAACAAATTAGGTATAGAAGAAGCATAGCCCAGTATAGTAAAGGCCATGTATGGCAGTCATATAGCTCACTGTCACCACTTACTTCAACATAGTACTAGAAGTCCTAGCCAGAGCAATTAAGCAAGAAAGGGGAAAAAAGATATGCAAATTCGAAAGGAAGAAGTAAAATTGCCTATTTGTAGATAAGATGATCTTATATATAGAAAATCATAAGGATTATACCAAAAAAGTGTTAGAACTGACAGAATCCGTAAAGTGGTAGGATACAAAGTGAACATGCAAAATGAATGCATTTCTCTATGACAGTGAACATTCAGAGAGAAATGTCATTTTTTTGATACCAAAAAGATTAAAATATTTAGGATTATATTTATTTAATCAAAGAGATAAAAGACCTGTAAAATGAAAATGCAGTGTAAACTAAATCAGTAGTGAAAGGTATTAAGATACAAATAAATGGAAATATATCCTGTTTTCTTGGATATATTATTGAAATGTCCAAAGTGATTTATAGGTCTAATGCAATCTTTATAAAAATTTGTTTTTTTTCCACAGAAGTAGGAAAAAAAACCCTGAAATTTACATGGAAACGTAAAACCTCTTAATAGCCAACATAGCCTTGAGAAGGAAAAATAGAGCCAGAGACATTATGCTGATTTCCAACTACATTTGACCCTTGAACAACATGGTGTGAACTGCATGGGCCCACCTGTATGTGGACTTTTTTCACAGTACAACACTGTAAATGTTTTCTCTTCCTTATTCTTTTCTTAGCAATATCTTTTAGCCTTTTTTAAGAATACAGTATATAGTATAAGTAACACAAATATGTGTTGATTGACTGTTTATGTTATTGGTAAGGCTTCCAGTCAACAGTAAGCTATTAGTGAAATATGGGGGGAGTCAACAGTTATACACTGATTTTCAACTGCACAGGGGGTCACCATCTATAACCACTGCATTGTTCAAGGGTCAACTGTATATTACAGTGTTTTAGTAATCAAAGCAGTATCTTACTGATAGAAAAATGGAACATAGAGCAATGGAACATATTACAGAACTCAGAAATAAAACTCATGCATATAATCCTTGACAATGGCTCCAAAAATTACAATGGAGAAAGGATGGTCTCTTCAGTAAATGGTGCTGGGCAAAGTGGATATCCACTTTTAAAATAATGAAACTGGACATCCCTGGACCACTCCATTAACATGGCTTCTGTTTTTTATGCCCTTACAACTTGACTTCTGCTATTGCCTCTTCTTCATGAGAACATGTGATTCATGTGGAAGTGCAACTGCATAGTAGAAAAGACAACTGTTCTTTTCTTCTTTTTTATTCCAGTCTACATTAAACGTGTTTAACATAGTTCCTTTAGCACATTATTGCAGGTGTATGTTTATACTTTGGCCTCCATACCAGATCATACACACCTTTGAGGAGCACAGTTATCTTTTCATCTCTAGTAGGAAGGACAGTTCCAGATATACAAGGGAAACTTTATGATTGTACTTTTAGGAATTCATGAGTTAACACGGGTAGGAAATTTCTACTGTGGGTTCTCTTTACCCTACTGTGTAGAGTACAAAGCCTGGTGTATTGTGTATAAGACAAAACACACAACAAAAGTATGAATTCCAGACTTCTTGTTCTTCTGATCCAGGCTGATCCCTTGAATTGAGACATGTGCCACTCATTACAGGGGTTGGTGTCGTTTGAGGATGTGGCTGTGAACTTCACCTGGGAGGAGTGGCAGGACCTGGATGATGCCCAGCGGACCCTGTACAGGGCTGTGATGCTGGAGACCTACAGTAGCCTGGTGTCACTGGGTGAGTGAAACTGTCCTCGTGTCCTAGCACTGTTTTCTTCGTTGGTAAACGTGCAAACTGTTCATGAAGTTAAATGCTACTTAGGTTTAAGATTCGAGGCCCAGAAGAATGTGAGTATTCACCTTTCTAATCAGAGGTTCAAGTTGGCCCTTCCTTGTACAACTCTTGACACCGCGCTCCTGTCATCTTTAAAGTGGTTTGGTAAAAGTCCCCCTTTATTTCTGATCAACAGGGCACTGCATTACCAAACCTGAGGTGATCGTCAGGTTGGAGCAAGGAGCAGAGCCATGGACTGTAGAGGAACCCCTGAAGCAGAGCCTCGCAGGTCTGTCAGTGCACACTGGGCAGGGGTCAGGGAAGGGGAAAGCATAGCAGATGTTGGCTGTGCTGGGCTGTTTTTTACCAGTGCTTTTCCCAGGTCCAGACATGTTCTATTTAGTCTCCACAGCTGCTGCTTACGTATAAACCACCTCCATTTTTTTTTCTCTTTTCTGAGACTCACCCAAAATCCAGTCTTTACCTGCCTCCTCTTAGAATTTTTTTCTTTGTTAGCCACTGTCTGTAGGTTCTGAGAAGCCCTCCTTTCCTCCATTCTCATGCACTAGTTTTTTTCAGGCATTTATTTATACACTCATTATTCTTTCAACAAGTGTTAAGCACCCGTCATTCTTTAGTTGTGGGGATAATGACAGTAATCAAACAAATGCACTCCTTCCTAGGAGGTTACCAGCTATTGAATCAGAATGAAACATATTTACAATATATGAAGCACATACCAAGTAGTGGGATAACCAGCACAGATGTCACCGTGAGAGAAAATGGGGTGTGTTATTTTAGTAAGGAAGCCCAGGGAGAGTGGTTTTGGGAGGATTGTTAAGACTGTACTTTGGGATAGCTTAAGTTTAAGGTGGCAGTTAACCAAATTTGGCAGTATAACATATACATGGATATAGTATCTGGAATAGAAATTGGATATCACTATTAAAAGATTCAAGTTAGAAAAATTGTTAAAAGCACAGGATTAGGGGAGGTTGCCCAGGGAGTTGTTAAGAAAACAAGTGGAGCCCAGGACCAAGCCTTGTCAACCACAGCATCACAGGTGGCATGGAGGTGTGGAGAACCATGCACAGGTTTCAGCGTGGAAAGGGGTGGTCCATGGCGTGGGAGGAGAATCTGGAGAACATGTGTTCTCAAGGCCAGGGGAGCCAGGGGCTTTGGGGTGCAGTTCCTTATGCTAAATCATTCTAAAACAGTGACCCATACATGGACTCCATTTTCACTGAAACTGGGACACAGCTGATACTCCAAAGGACAAAACACAAGCCTTTAGAAACTGCAAATTGTCAAGTAGGGATGATTTTACCAGGAAGTGAGGTGAGGATGCTGTGGCTTTTGATCTGAGAATGAGCCAGAGAAAGGTTTTTCAATGATGGTGGGCACAGCCTGGGTTGCAGAGCTTAAACCCTTTAGACCAGCAAGGAAGGGTAGCCTAGTGTGGGGAATTGGAGCTCTCTGTACCTGTTATGGTTGGGAGAAGCCATGGGTGCAGGGTTTAATTAGGAATGAGCGGAAAGCTGTCTTTGGCTAGCACGGAGAAGGAGAGATGATGCCTTTGAAAAACCCCACAGATGCCCTTAGTCACCCCACAGGGAGGAGTAAAAAAATAAATGTGGCTACAAATCCTTGTTCGTAAGCAGTATGACAGAGCAATGGCCCTGTATTGCATCCTAAAGTAGCAGATCCAGGAAGACCTTGGCATCTTCAAAGCTGAGTGATGAGAAAAGGCCCAGCATAAGTGACCCGCAGTTATTGTGAGAGAAAGCAAGAAACAGAACGGGCACACAAATGGTAAATGAAGAGAAGTCAGCTGAACACTAAGACCAGGGAATAGGTGAATATTGTGACTGATGATTTCCTCATGGATTCAAAAAGAAAAAAAACATGGTAAAAAAGCAAAACCAACAAATAAATAAAACCATGATCTGCATTAGAGAATCTGTTGGTGTAATTTGTTACATTATTTCATTAGAAAGAAAAATCATATACTTATCATAATCATACCCATTTTGGCTCTTTAAAATTCTTATCCTACACGGTGGAAAGAAGCTTCTGTATTTTTACATGAACATTCCATAAGAAATGCTTAGATGTGGTTCATACATGTGGTTACTTTGTCTCATTGTAGATGTCCAGACCGCAGGTGACCTGATGGAGACTGGCCAGGAGCATCAGAACAGACGTTTGTGGCAAGATGGATTGGCTAACAATGAAATGTCAACTAAGGAGAGAACCAGTTTAGGAAAAACACTTAATCTGAGTGCAGCCCACATTTCAGAACTGATTAGAAATAATGGAAGCTATTCAGGAGAGAAGCCAGAGGGGTTTAACGTGTGTCAGAACATGTTTCTCCCTGGTGAGCCTGGTGGGATGCCTGCTGGAGAGAAGGCTGAGGAATGTAATACAACTGGGAACCCCCTCAGGTATGCTAAGTGTCATCGTTGTCATCAGAAGATTCAGACTTTGCAGCAACCTCTTGAATGTAGTGGGCAAGGGAAAGACTTCAACAAGGAGGCAACATTCTTTACCTGTAGGAGGGCTCGCAGGGGAGAGACTGCCTGTAGATATAACGAATATCAGGAAGCCTGTGGTAAGTCAGCTGTCACTGCCCGAGAGAGAATTCACATAGGGGAGAATCACTGTGCATGTAACGAATGGGGGAACGCCTTTTGTGAGAAACCAGCACAATTGAATCTTGATCGAGCTGATTGTGAGGAGCAACACCGTAAACGTGATCAAAGTGGGGATAATTTCAGCAGGAAATCACACCTCACTCAGCTTTCGAGAACTCAGTTAGAAGAGAAAACTTTTGAATGTGATGTATGTGCTAAAACTTTCTACAAGAAGTCTAATCTCAGTAAACATCGGAAAATACACACGGGAGAGAAACCGTATAAATGTAGCGAGTGTGAGAAGACCTTCATTAGTAAAACAGTTCTTACAGTACATTGGAGAACTCATACAGGGGAGAAGCCCTATGCATGTGTCGAATGTGAGAAATCTTTCTGCCATAAGTCACACCTAACTGTTCATCAGAGAATCCACACAGGGGAGAAACCGTATGAATGTTATGAATGTGGGAAATCCTTCTCTGTGAAAACAAAACTCACTGTACATCTGAGAACGCACACAGGGGAGAAACCCTATGAATGTAATGAATGTGGAAAAACCTTTTACCAGAAGTCAGCCTTCACTATACATCAACGGATTCACAATAGGGAGATACATCACGAATGCAACCATTGTGGTAAAACATTCCATAAGAAGTCAGTTCTCACTGCACATCAGAGAACTCATACAGGAGAGAGACCTTACGAATGTAAACAATGTGGGAAATCCTTTGGCCATCGCCCAGCTCTCACTGTTCATCAGAGAACTCACACAAGGGACAAACCTTATAAATGTAATGTATGTGGGAAATCCTTTTGTGTGAAGCCAAAACTCACTGTTCATCTGAGACTTCACACAGGTGAGAAGCCCTATGAATGTAAGGAATGTGGGAAAACCTTCTACCAAAAGTCAAAACTCACTGTACACCAGCGAACTCACACTGGTGAGAAACCTTATAAATGTAATGAATGTAGGAAAACCTTTTGTGAGAAGTCAACCCTCAATAGACATCAGAGAACTCACACAGGAGAGAAACCTTATGGATGTAAAGAATGTAGGAAAACTTTCTACCAAAAGTCAGCCCTTACTGTTCATCAGAGAACTCACACAGGAGAGAAACCATATGAATGTAATGATTGTGGAAAAACCTTCTGTCAGAAATCACACCTCAGCAAACATTTGAGAACTCACACAGGGGAGAAGTCAAATATGTCAGATACTGGCTGTTTGTATACCAAAACTCACTTTCTTTTTGTGTTAGGCAGTCAGTTAGCTTACATTTCTCAACCTCCCTTCGTTCTGGATGGGACCATGTAACTGAGTTCTGGCCAAGAGAGTATGAACACAAATGATGAACATTACTTCAAGCCTGGCCACCAAAACAAACAAAAAATGAATTTGCTGATTTTTCTTATTCCCTGTGCTTCTGAAGTGCAGTTGACACACAGGTTTATCTTCAGAGCCATAGAGTGAAGATTGCAACCATGACCTCAGGCAGAAAGGATTGATTGCGAAGGGCAGAAATCTTCCCATGTCAGAGAATCTTCCCTACCTCAGAAATCTTCACTTGTACTTTACCTGAGTGAGAAATACTCACTGTTGAACCCTTCTATGTATGACCTAATGACAGCAGTACCAGTCCATTGTTGCCAGTTCACTTTACAAATTTGTGAATTTCTTGACAGGTGTCTGTTGAAATTACCAGTCCTTGTGTAGGAAACTCACACAGGAAAGAAACTTTGTTTTCATCTTTCATCCCCAGGTCAGTGGATGGAAAAATCAAAGAAATCATAAGAAGAATGCAGTAAATATAGGAATACCTTTATTGGGCAGAGATAGCTCTTTGAACACTGGGAATAAAGTAAGATCTCATAAATACCTATCATGTGTCCAGATTTTCATCTGAATGTCCAACTTTATGTCTATCAGAATTTTTCATTCAGGGAAAACCATCAGTTTCAGTAATGTGTATGAAAATTTCATGTCAAAATGATAGATATTGTATTGAAAAAATTTTTGAACTAGTATAGACCATTGATTTTTCTGCTGGGGGTGATTTGCCTCCAAGAGGACATGTGGCAACAATACTGGTACTAGCACGGTGTCAATTCTGCCTTTTTCTATTCAGGGTAGTTATAGGGCCCATGAAGATTCTAATGGGTAGAGAAATAGGCTCCACCTTTCGATACACGGGCACCTTACAAGAATATGTGGGATGGGACATAGTAGCGTGGCCATCTTTGGAAAATGCAGTAGGACACTGTCCACTTTATGGCCAAGGAGTTCACGTTGCTCACACGTGTAGTCTATACTAATCAAAGGATCTCAATTTACAAAGCTCTTTAGCTCAAAATCTAGGACCTTGTCTGTATCAGGTCAACATACACAGTCTCTTTGGGCAGTCCCTTCTGTGTGGTTGCTCTTAATCTAGACAGGACCTGCAGTGACCAGTTACGTGCCATGCACACACTCAACACACAATGGTAGCACAGTGATGGGAGATTCACAGATTGTCCATTCAAGGGAGGGGAACTGGGAGGCACTCAACCCCCCTTACATAGAAACTGAAATCTGGCATCAGTTCCTTAATTAGGGTGCAGCGGTTCTGGGAATGACTTTAAGGCTCTGGATTCTGCATTCTGTCATCTTCTATCTTCTGCATGACATAGCCTGATTTTTTTTTTTTTTTTAACTAACTAGTTTCTTCCGTTCTAGTTCCTGCCCAGAGAGCTCTTCTCATCTGAACGGTTTCTAGACCTTGTATTTCAAATTTAATTCCTTTAAGAAAGTTTTTGGGTTTCTGATAAATTAGAATCCACTCCATTAAATGAAAGCTACCCCTATATTTCTTGAGCAGGATCCACTCGACCTTGAACTGAGAATGATGTGGGGACAATGCTCCTAGATGTGTAAAAGCCCTATTTATCATCTGGTGTAAGGATTTACCAGGCACACAGTTTAGAGTCTCAAGAAGGGATCTTAGGGCAACACCCTAGGTCTGCGATTTGCTCTGAGGCTCCATCTTGCCAGTAGCATCCTGAATGTGATCTTTAGCCTGTAGTCATTTCATATTCCAGGGATCTTTGTTTCTGAGTGGAGACGCTGGGAAGGGGGAATTTTATTTTCAAACCCAGGGAGTCCTGGCTCCTTGGTACTTTGTCTAAAACTGAACAATTTCTTTTAGTCCCTCTGTCTCTACCTATGCCTATGGTAAGTGACTCTACCAGCTATGGATTTTTTTTTATTTTTTTATTTTTATTTATATTTATTTATTTATTTTGGTCTCAGGTAGAAACCCACCCTTGGTTGCTCTACTGTGTGATGCTGGGGCTACATTTCTCTTATTCCAGCTGACACAGTCTCTGGGTTTCCAAGGAAAGGGCCTGGAGGGAGACTGCAAGGTTGAGCAGGAAGACGGATTTTCTTACTTCTTCTTTGGCAGATATCCATGTGGTTGTGAGCAGGGGTGGGGAAAGTCCTAGTCCTGTTTCTGTCTAGAACTATAGTATAGTGAATAGTATATGAATATACCTGAGGTGCGTTAAACATTTCACTGATAAGTATAAAAGAAGTTACCTTCTATTCCTAGATTTTACATCTTTTTTAATTTAAATAGGTGTTGGCCTTTTGTCAAAGGCCTTTTGTGCATCTGTTGAAGTAATCCTGTATCTTTTGTGAACCATCTGAAGCTACAAAATTACTTCTAGTCATGGGCTTAGCTGAACTGCTATTATAGGTGATGTTTCTATTGCTATCCAGGGAAATGTGCTAATTTCCAGGAGATGCAGGAATTATTTTGATAAAGTATAACCAGTTTATTATGACACAGTTCTGATTAACTCCATCTCAGAAAACTGGGAGATTTATGGCTGGTGTCTCTCTCTTACTGAGTAATTTCCTACCATGTCACATTCCTCCATTTTTCCACAGAAAGCATGCTCTCCCGTCTGGGACCCTGTTTGGACCTCTCTGCAACCCCACCATATTACGGTCTTACCTGGATGTGGGAGCCTTTCAAGAGAAAGAACCTCTATTTCAATCACTATTTTGGCTCAGGAGCACAGACTTTGACTACCCTTGCTGCCCTTTATTGGGGGAGTACATTTTCATGGAGTCTTAAGTGATTGATTCCCAGCACACAGGATTTCTAAGACGCTATGTTCTTGTGAAAGGTGTCGGTTACATATTTTGTGCCCAGGAAGGCACAAACCACACAAGCTTCCAGTTACGTGTTGTTTTTTCCTCAGCTAATCAGTGTAGACTGTGCGTAAGGGACTGACTGGCTGAGAACTACCAGCACCATCATCCCCATTGTTCAGATTTCTGGGATTCTGTTTAGTTTAGGCCTGGATAAGGAATTAAAGAAATCAGTGTGGCTCTGCAGAACCTACAGCCTTCTGTCTGGGAACCCAGAACAGTGTGTTATGTCCTAGAAATAAGCAGACTAGACTATGAGGGTAGGGAAGGAAGCCTGCTGTGGCCCTCTGGCTGAGGTTAAGGTTTACTTAGTCTCAGGGACCAGGGGTCTTGGACCAGGCAAGCCCTACCCACTCTGTACAAACTCAGCTGAGGCAGTTGTACTGAAATAGTGCCTTTATTTCCTGAAGTTCATGGAATATGCTGCAGGGCAAGGAGAGTCCTTGCCTAGGAGGGCATACGGCCTTGCTTGGTGGGCAGCTCTGGGTCTTTCTCCTTGCTGACTCCTAGGAGCTTGAGATTGGCCTGCGGGAGGTCAGAGTCTGAGGAGCGAAATCTCCATATATCCTTGTGCCCACACCCTCACTAGGACCTGCCTCTTCCCACTCCACACTGCCAGCCTCTGCACTCTCGTCTTCTTTGTGCTCTGTGGGAGCACCCTACTCCAAAGACCATCCTCTGAGGACTCTGTGGATCCCATTTTTTGCCTTCCTGCACCCAGCTCCCTTCATGAGCTATTTCTGCTCCCTGCCACCCAATTCCAGGGCTCACAAGTTCTCCTGGGCCAGCCCCTTCCTCTTGTTTGCTTTGGGCTTGAGCAGGTATCTGCACCCCAAGCTTTTCCAGCTCTTCCTTAAGCCTGGACAGAGAGGGGTAGGGTAGGAGTGTGGGGAGGAGAAAGGATAAGAGTGTGTGAAGAGAACAGGAGACAGGCTGAAAAGGGAGATGCCCTTAGCCACCTTCCCCTAGGGGACTTGGGGGAGGGCCTCCACACCCACCTCTGCCTTTTTTGTTGCAGCTGCTGGCACCTCTGCTGCAGCTGCTCATGGCGCTGGGCAGCAGTCTCCAGGAGCTCCTGGGCCTTCCTGTTCTCCTCATCAAACAGATGTCTGAGGAGGGGAGTGCTATTAGCACTGGCATCTCCCTCCCTCCACCTCATTCCCTGTCCCTGTCATCTTGTCTTACACTGCAGCTGCTGCCTCTTGGCTGCGGAGAAAGAGCCCCTCAGCAATGGTCGAGCAACCATCAGCCCCAAACTGGGAACACAGACGATGCTTCACATCCTCCAGCTTTGCCTCCATGAGCTTTTCTGCAGCAGGAAGGGACAGATGAGCAGGGCAGCACAGGGCAAATCAGGGCCTCCCCATTCTCCAGGCCTCACCTTCCTTGAGCAATTGCTCCTTGCTGCTGTCCAGGGCACCAATCTCCTGGGCCATCTGCTCTGGCCTCTGAGTAGGTAGAAAAGAGGCCTGTCCATGTGTTTTGGCCTCCTCCCCTGCACCTCAGAGAAGCCTACCTGGATCTGGTCTTTACTCAGCATGCCTCACTTCCTACCATGCTGGCCCTCTGAGCACACAATGCACGTTCCAGCTTCAGGGACTTTGTACTGGTCATCCTCTCCACCTGGAACTGTCTCACCCCAGATACCTGTGATGCTGTCCTTGAGAGGCTCATGAGGTGGTTAACGTTCAGGAATTTTGCAAGCTTTGAAATCAGGTCTGAGGCAAGTATTTACTACTGGGGATCCCCAAAACATTACAAATCAGAAATGTTCCATGGAGAATCATTTACTAGCCCTGCATTGCAGCTCCTCTTCCCTTTACGTGGCCTCCTCACTGAACCTGTCTATCCCAACATTTATTCTCTCTGCCCCTTTTATTTGGCATTTAGGATCCCCAGGCGGCAAAGAGCAGTCTGCTTCATTCCCCACTGTCTGTCCTGTGCCAGTTATGGCTGCAAACACATCCATGGATCTTCTCTATGGATAACCTTTCCTTGGTTCATCAGGGCTCCTCCTGGCCACTGCAGGGCCCTGGGGAGGCAGCAGGGATGGGCAGGCAGGATCAATGAAGAGGATGACACTGGGTGGCAGTGAGGGTGGTGATAAGGCACTGAGCTGAGGACCATTTTGATATTAGGCTACCAGGGCTGGCTCAAAAGCAGGTGAGGGGAAGGAGGCCAGCAGTGTGACCTTCAGTTTTGGCCTTGGGATGGTCAGGGAAGATGTGGAAGGTGGGAGGAATGGCTTTGAGTGACTCACGTGGAACTCCCAGAGGTCCTTGTGCTGGCCCATCAGATCCTCCAGCTGTTCCTCAAAATCCAACCTGGGGGCCGGCCACACAAGATGAGGGACCAGGGGCTGAGGCACCCCTCCCCAGCCTGGCCCAGGCCAGGGGTCTTCATGTACAGACCTTGGGAAGTTTGCCTATGTTCTTTGCTTTATAGGAAGCACCTTCCCCACCTTGACTTTCCAAGCCTCAGGTCAGCCAGCTCCTCTTCTAACCACCATTCCTGATATTACCTGCACCTACAACCCATCCCTGCACACTGCCCCCTCATCCCCCACCTGGCCTTGGGCACTGGGCTTTACCTCAGTTGCCTCTGTTTGTTCTTCTCTTCCTCGATCTGGGAGTTCAGGGCAGAAATTCGCTCCTTGCAGTCCTGCAGGATGGTCTGCTTTCTG